ACAAACATCATATCCATGTCCACCCAGTCTTTTGATCTCTTATCTGTAAGATTTTTTACAACATTCATTATTTCTTCTTTGTCAGTTCCATTAAGAAAAATACTGTTGTCACAACTTATAACTGAATGGTTCACATTATTGTCTACTTTTGGTATTTTAGCTGCAAGGCTTGATCCAACGTTCACAAAATGACGATTAAATCCATTTACAATTTCATTTTCATCATGGATTTCATTGTCATCCTTTAAAAAATATTGTGAAATACCTGTTTTTGCTTTATGACTTTTCAGAACACTATTTATTACTTGCCATGTTGCTTTCATATCACCATTGCTTTTATTTAATAAATCACTATAATATTCCTTCTTGTGTTTCCTTATAATCTAATGAGATTAGACTCATTAGAATGATTTGTTCAATTAGCTTTGTAGAGATCTAGTAGAGTGCTGTATGAATGGGTAAATGAGGACACAGATTGTAGAGTAAAGCACTTTGAGTATCTTGATTAGATCGAAAGATGCTATATAAGTACAGTCCGTTTACCATTTACCATTTACAAAACAGTCTGTCGCCGGACAGTTTATTGTGCGACACATCATAAAAATTGATCTTTGGATGGACATGCCCTGCAGGTGTCTGCTTAGAGTGTAATCCGGTACGCACGGATCTCCGTGGACTGAGATCTGCCCAAGTATTTGGGAGCCTTAAGGATCTTAACGAGGGTGAGCAAGAATATAATGAAGCAGTCACACTGAGAGACTCTGTGGCCAAAACACAGGCTAGTCAATTTAAAGAAATCTCTAGAGGAAAATAAATTACATTTCTAAAACATCACAGAGGTTGTGGTGATTTCAACTGTCGGGCATCAAATGGAGTATCAGTTCAGTTTATGTAGCAGGAATTTGATGAGGAACCATTGCTTACAGTTGCATTCAGTTAGAGTGGCAACAGCAGCACCAGGTTCATGAAAATATTTTTATAAACCTTCACAAATACATCTATCGACCATCTTCTGCTTGTTCTGGAGTTGGGTCACAGGGTAGAGACACATCTCTTTTCACGTCTTCCAGCTCTTCCAGGAGGATTCCAAGACGCTCCAAGGCCAACATGTGGGAGTTCTGCTCTGCCAGCTCCTGCTCCCACAGTCAGACTCTAATTAGTTACACCTGTGATCCTGTGACTTGATGAGCATGAGGAGTATAAGAGACCCCAGAAGACACTCATCCAGTGCTGGAGCATTACTTGCCAACAGTAGTCTTGTTCTAGCCTTCTATTTGTGGTCCAAGTGAAATATTAATGATTTGTGTGTTTTTCTGTGCCTCCAGCGAGTTACCTTTGATGTCCTGTGTTCCTGAAATCTCCTCTGCAGATCTCAAGCTCCTCTGTGCCTCATCAGCTGCCTCCACAGCTTCCTGCCACTTGTCTTTCACCTGTACCTCTTCCACCAGGAACCATTTGGGTCTACTCTCCTCACGCCTGACCTCAACCACCAACGTAAGAGAGAACTGCAACATCATTATCACCCTTGACATCCTTGACTCAGACCTTTTCTCTGCCCCTCAGAGTTCCAGCCCTCCCCTGGCTTATTGCTTATATCTCACCTGGTAAATAAACACTGTAAACTGATTCTGAGTCTTGGTCTCTGTTCTCATTGGTACTTATATCTGGGTATAGCCACAATTGTCACACAGCCAAGAGACATTGGTTAGCGTAAACACTACCAAACGAAGCCAAACTGAACACAGAAGTTACTATACTTACTGTATATAGCGTCTTTCTATCTTATCAAGACATACAAAGCTCTTTACACTACAATCTGTGCCTCATCTATTCATTCATACAGCACTCTACTAGATCTCTACAAAATTAATCTGAATCTGTAGAGACTAATCAGAGCTTTAGATCACATTCATACACCGATGGGACACACATTGGAGGCAATGAGGGGTTCAGTGTCTTGCCCAGGGACACTTCAGCATGTGACTGCTGGTGGAATCAACCCCCCAGCTCTCTCACTGGAGGACGGCTGCTCCAACCACTCAACCACAGCATCCCCAGCAGCTGGGAAAACAATCTTTACACAACAAAAACACTATTATTTAAAACTTGGCACTCAATTTAAATATTGCATAGAACAATTATATTGGCAGGAATGTTAAAAAAAATCTTATTAGACAAGATCCCTGGATGCCCTGGACGTGATAGCGCCAGTTTCTGGGTAAATGGGTAAAATATAACATAACTTTTACATAGAAACCCACTTCAAAATGGTTTAACTTTTCCTCTAAGATCTTTTTAGTTTTCTCAGCAGAAATGTGCTCTGAGATCCTGTTCTTTCCCTCAGGAAAATCGTTTTTTATTTTTGTCTTTCTAGATACGTGACCTCGGTTGACTTTTTTCCTTCACTGTTTGCTTTAAACAGCTCCCAGTGAGAACAAACAAGGTACAGAAGGCCGTGCTGCAAGTCTAAAGACAAAAAACAATTTAAAAAAAGGTTTAATGTAAAGATATCTTGTCTTTTGGGATTCCCATTTTTCTTAAACGCGTCATAAAACCTTTAGCTAGTGCCAAAGCTCTTTAATGAGACGAGACCCAGGTTTCACGTGAAAGACACAACAGAACGATCAATTCCTTGTTTGTAGCTGAGGCATTTATCACTCATTCATGAGATCCTTTAACATCAACAACGTGCATTTATACATGCCACTGTTCAACTGGAACATAATAAAATAGATGCACATTTCATTTGATGCTTCAGAGTTTTTCATCTGACCTCATTAGGAATCAATAACAGGTACAATTTTATTTAACTGAAGCAGACAAAATAATATGCCGCAGTGAAATAAATAATATTCACCATCAGTAGGTAACAGCAAAGCTATCATAGAAAAGTTGATGCACTTGTGCACTTTGCGTCTAAATCAGCAGTTATAAACTCATTTGTCTTCTCTGGAACAATAAAAGCTGGACAATTTATGATTTATGCAAAAACCTTGAATGTATTTAAAAAAAACAACAAAAAAACAAATTTATGGTTAAGTGATGGATATAAAAACAACTTATCGTCCAAAAAAAGAGAGTACAGGTTGAAACAACTTAAAACATAGCTGTATATTGTAGACGACAGCACTTTGACCAACGGTGTGGTTTTTAAAGTGCTTTATAAATAAAGTTGTATTGTTAAGCCTTAAAAGAAAAGAAAATAAGCTCATTTGAAAGTTTCACACTTGTCTTACACTCAGCAGAGCTTGAGCAGATTTAGGCCTTCTCTGTGATTCACTGAATGGTAGAGTGTATATTGTTGTTGTCGTTTGTATCAGAAGTACTTTAAGCCCAAGCATGCATTTCTTCCAGGCAATTTTACCAGAAATGTCTGCAAAGAAAAATACTTTTTATGCGTGTTATATTTCACCCGTTTTATTCTGGGGAACAGTAAACCAAGCGAGTGTCAGGTGCCTTTTACACAATGTGCTTCCTGTTCTGCTGACTGCGCTCCAGTTCTGTCTCAGCTTTCTGCAGATTTTTACAGAAGGCGTTTTCATTCGCCACTGCAGGAAAAACACTGATGATGCTAATTCCATCGTGCTGTTCCACTAAGTGCTTAAATGAACTGCTTGCAGCCTTATCTCAAAATAAGCGACGCATTGTTAAAACAATCAGACACCATTGATCGAGGACCGCAGTGACAAGGAAAGTTAGTATTTAGAGAGAATGAGCACAGGTGTTTCTTTTAAAACCGTAACAATCAATGTTTTCTGTTTTTATAAGAATAAAAGTGTCAAAAAATGAAAGAGAAACAGACACAATGAATGATGTTCTTTTCATCAAACTATTCTGAGTTAAAATGTCTACATTTGTTTAGTTTGTTTTCCTTTTCTTGTCTAAATGCACTTAAATTGGTCATTCAAAATACTGGAAACCCCTTTACTTGTACTTCTGTTTATTTTGGGAAACAATAAAAAAACTAGAATGATGATACAAATTTGCAGCAGTTACAAAAATAAATTTTCAAACATTTTTTGAAAATTGGACTCAGTGCCAGCATTTTGTTTTGTAATCACATAATGCAACTGGAATGTAAGAATAATAAATATGACAAGATGCATTATTACATTCCTACTTTTGAATAATTGTTTAGATCCATCCATCCATCCATTTTCTTTACCCGCTTTATCCACTTTGGGTCACGGGGGTCGCTGGTGCCCATGTCCAGCAATCACTGTGCGAGGGGCGGGGTACACCCTGGACGGGTCGCAAGTCCATCACAGGGACACATAGAGACAAACGAGACAAACAACCATTCACTCTCTCACTCACACCTAGGGACAATTTAGAGTTACCAATCAGCCTAACATGCATGTTTTTGGTCTGTGGGAGGAAACCGGAGCACCCGGAGAAAACCCACGCATGCACGGAGAGAACATGCAAACTCCACCCAGAAAGGCCCCTGGATCGGGGTTTGAACCAAGGACCTGCTCGCTGCGAGGCAGCAGCTCTACCAGTTGTGCCATCGTGCTGCCTAATAATTGTTTAGATCTATTATCTACTAATTTTTAAGAGGGGGAGCGGTGGTCCTGAGGTTATGGAAGGTGGGCCTGTGATCCGAACATACCGACCTTACTGACAACATCAAAATGTGGGTGGGAAAGTTGAAGCACCCACACCTGTCTCCACCCCACTCTGGGCCCTTGAGCAAGGCCCTTTACCCCCACAATCTGCTCCCCTAGGTCCCCTAGATGCAGCTCTCTGATCCACACAGAGGGCTGTGGTAGCTCAGTGGTTTGCTGTTGCGTCAGGAAGGACATCCAGCATAAAACCAGTTGCCAAGTCTTCATGCGAGCTGTGGTGACCCCTGAAGAAGGGAGCAGCCAAAAGAAGAAAAAAAATCCTAATTTATTTTACTCATTCACAAAAACACATTACACAAACATATTACAACACATAAAGATGATATAATGTACCTTAATGTTTTTATTTTACAGTATTTATTATATTTTACCAAGCACGAGTCAGTGGGTCATCCTGACCGGCAGGGGGCGCTCTCTGCTCCGCCCCATCGCTTCGACCTTAGCGGGACTCCCGCAGCAGTAATGTTTTCCGGGTTCAAGCTTTCTCGCTAAGCGGTTGAATGGTTGTATATAGAGGCGATGCATTAATAATTAACGCGTAAAACTGCGGATCTTTGTGAACGAGAGAAAGGGTGCTCGCATTTGTGCGTTTATAAACGTTGCTGCAGCTCGTTGCTGTGGCACGTGGAGCCGCCGGAGCTTTTAACAGTCCGCGTTAGCTGAACATGTCTGCGGAGGAAGCGGATAAAACAGCCACCACTGATGCCAGCGCCGGCGATGAGGAGGAGGAATGGCTGTATGGAGGTAAACCACAGCAAAAAAAAAAAATGAAAAGAAAGAAGCAAAAACCGATTTTTCTCCCCCGAAAGAGACAAATGTATCGGTTGCTGTGCTACCAAGGCAAATAACACTGAGGAGATTGGAGCGTTAGCCGCGATGCTAATGCTAACTAGCATCAGCGCCCATTGGGCCTTGTTTAGCAGCGCGACTAGCGTCAAGTTTCAAAAAGGCTTGTACCATTTTATAATGACGAATACGCTGAGTTAATATTCCCACTGTAACACTGCGCGATGTTAAATTTTCTCCACTGACGATATATGTTCAACAGCCTTGTTAATGATTGTTTGTGTGTTTTCAGACGAGTCAGAAAGTAAAGAGGAGGATGAAGAAGCCAAACTGAACGCTGCTGTCGGGTATGCACTTTCACACAACACAGGCTGTTTGCGTTTTTACAAAAACATTTCTTACACTTCCCAAACACACTGCCAAAAAGGGTGACAGTGAGTTTATAGAGGTCTGTTTTTTGTTTGTGTGTCAAATATTAATGGCTTAAAAATGTATGAGCCTGATGTGTTTTTATCCATGACAAAGTAACATTTGAACTTTTTAATTTTTAAACCTTTATTTTACCAGGATAAAAATCCACAGAGATTATTAATCTCTTTTACAATGATGTCCTGGGCAATCTACAAATACAGCAACACAGTCTTAGTAACAGTAGTATTAAAATATTTACAACTAAACTTTCTTTAATAAAACAAAATACAATGCAAGTTTTAAAAAATACATCCCACTTGAACATTACAGGGGCAAGATGTGACTAAAACCTCAGACAATTTTTGTTTAAAATTAGTTGAAGGGATAAAATCTTGACTGCTCTAATTTCTGGTAACTTCCACTGGTCTCAGTTGTGTCATTTTTTCACTGCTTGTGTTATTTGTGGAAAACAGTGCTTTATATGACATTTTAAACATGTAAAGTCATGCTTACCTGACCATTCATTCCAGAGTTAGGGAAACTTCACCTGCCCAGTTTATTTATAGCAATTTTCTTTGATTACTGTATTTATTTTAACTTGGGTTTACAGATGAGCGCTACAAGAAGTTATAACAGGAGAGAGAGTCACAGCAGGTGTCTCTGCTCAATAAAATGTTGTTTATCTTCGATAAAAATTATATTTTTGTATGTGTAAACGCCTCAAATGGTTTGCTCGTTTTTTTAATGATCAAGTTTATTTTTTCCCACCCAGTCATTTGGAAAATGTAACTAACTTTAATTGTAATTTTATCCGACAGTGCACCTGCTGATTTACCAACAGATGAAGCGGCCGTTGATGCTGCACAGACCACAGGAAATGGAGTGGCCTCTGAGGTAGGTCGTCTTTACATGTATTAGGCTAATTATTATTTTATTATATTTACCTCTCTGTCACTTTTGTTTTCTGTCCCTCTCTCAAACTGTCAACATTGGTTTCATGCGTCTTGTTGTTTTTTCTTTTTGTACACTTAGGCCCTGGAGGAAGCTGCTGGTGAGGATGCTGACAGTGACAGCGACAGTGATGACGACGACGACGATGTCCGTGTTACCATAGGCGACATTAAAACTGGAGCTCCACAATACACGTAGGTGTTAGTAAAACTGTTATCTGTCCGGTAGTTCCTGTTTTTATTGTTTTTACATAAGCTACACAATGAAGATTTTGTTGGCATTGTGGTGTGTGTGTGTGTGTGTAAAACGAGGTTAGCAGCTAGGGCTTGGGCTTTTGTCACTTTACATGGAAAATATTTATTTTGGACTTTTCGCTCCTTTATCTCTCAAAGCACCCTTTGACCAAAGTCTTACATTGAACCTGATAGTTTTCCTTCTTCATTTAGAAATACTGTTGCTTTAGAACATATTTAGACCCTTTCTTTGTGTTTTCTTTCCCTTTTTTTGCAAATATTATCACTTTTTGTTCTGAAAGTAGATGTAAAATACTGTAAAACCTCAAAGATCCAGCCGTTCAGAAATATACTTCCCAGAGAAATTCTGAAACAGTTTAAAAAAGGTTCAATACAATATTGATTGTATTGAACCTTAATTAATATGGGACTTAAATAACACATGGAAAATGTAAACTTTGTTTATTCAGAACAACTCAGGGTGAACCAAAGGGCAAACATTCTGAATCTTTCTGAGTAACACGTCAGGGTTTCAGATTCTCTGCAGTTTTTCTGAGTCACATCAAGGTTGGAATAAATTACCTCTGTGTTTAGGTCATGTAAAAATGTTTATTTTATTTTTCTAACTTCTTCAGTCAAATAAAACTGAATGTTTTTTTCTGTTTCAGGACATATGGAGCTCCACCTGTGAACCTCAACATAAAATCTACCAGCTCCAGACCCTACGGACAAGGTGTCAGGCCGAACGCCTTGAACTTAAATTTAAACTCTTCCTTGTTGTGGAAGTACCACTGACTTGTTGCGTTCTTTCATTTCAGTGACCACAAAGCTGAAGGGAGTGGATCTGGACGCTCCTGGAAGCATAAATGGCGTTCCTGTGCTGGATGTGGACATGGAGTCCTTCGACGAGAAACCCTGGAGGAAGCCAGGTCTGTTGTGTGTCTTTGTGTCTGTGAGCTGTTCTTAGGGCTGCTTTACCAAATATTTCAGTAATCAAGTACTCTGTCCATTAATCCACCGAGTGTTCAGGAATACATGCACTATGTCTGAATTTCAAACCATGTAGTTTATTTTTTATTCTGGAAACCTCCAAGTTGTATCTACACTCAAAGCTGCATCGCCCTGTTAGAACTGTGCATGCTCTTATTTAGGCCCACTATTCAGTTCTTTCTTTTTGCCCTTTGCAGAACTTAAAAATACCACAAAGTTGATTTTATTTTCTGATTTCATGTTGCAGATTTATGCCTAAAGGCACACGAGGCTCTTATCTGTCTCATTTGTTGTTTAAAGACCTGGAGCCATACAGCTAATATCTGACCCTTTTTTACACCTTTCACCTCAGTTAATGCAAGATAATTCAGGATGCATCTCTGCTTATTTTGAATATTGTGAAGTAAGAAATTTTGTTTTTTTTATTTCAGAAACTTGTCCATCTACTGTTTGTACTAGGCGGTTGTTGTTGTGAGCTTTTTGTTTTTCCTTTGAGATAGTCCCACTCTGTAGACTCCTTGGTCAAAGGTTTAAACAAAACACCTAATCAAAATTAACTAAAATAACTTACAAACAAGTTAGACACCTGTCAGAAGAATTGTTCCTGTCATGAAAAAGAGACGTTGTGGTTTTCAGAATGATACTAAGAATGCTAATGGTTTGTTTGGTAAAAATATACAAACTGGATTCCAAAAAAGTTGGGACACAAAACAAATTGTGAATAAAAACTGAATGCAATGATGTGGAGGTGCCAACATCTAATATTTTATCCAGAATAGAACACAAATCACAGATCAAAGTTTAAACTGAGAGAATGTATCATTTTAAGGGAAAAATCTGTTGTTTCCAAATGTCATGGCGTCAACAAATCCCAAAAAAGTTGGGACAAGTCCATTTTTACCACTGTGTGGCATCCCCCCTTCTTCTTACAACACTCAACAGACGTCTGGGGACAGAGGAGACCAGTTTCTCAAGTTTAGAAATAGGAACGCTCTCCCATTCATGTCTAATACAGACCTCTTAACTGTTCAATCGTCTTGGGCCTTCTTTGTCGCACCTTCCTCTTTATGATGCGCCAAATGTTCTCTATAGGTGAAAGATCTGGACTGCAGGCTGGCCATTTCATTACCCGGATCCTTCTCCTACGTAGCCATGATGTTGTGATTGCTGCAGAATGTGGTCTGGCATTATCGTGTTGAAAAATGCAGGGTCTTCCCTGAAAGAGATGACGTCTGGATGGGAGCATATGTTGTTCTAGAACCTGAACATAGTTCTCTGCATTGATGGTGCCTTTCCAGACATGCAAGCTGCCCATGCCACAAGCGCTCATGCAACCCCATACCATCAGTGATGCAGGCTTCTGAACGAAGCGTTGATAACAACTTGGGCTATCCTTGTCCTCTCTGGTCCGGATGACATGGCGTCCCAGTGTTTCATAAAGAACTTCAAATCGTGACTCATCTAACCACAGAACAGTCTTCCATTTTGCCACGCTCCATTTTAAATGACCCCTGGCCCAGTGCAAACGTCTGAGCTTGTGGAGCTTGCTTAGAAATGGCTTCCTCTTTGCACTGTAGAGTTTCAGATGGCAACGGCGGATGGCACGGTGGATTGTGTTCACTGACGATGCTTTCTGGAAGTATTCCTGAGCCCATTCTGTTATTTCCTTGACAGTGACATTCCTGTTTGAGGTGCAGTGACGTTTAAGGGCGCGGAGATCACGAGCATCCAGTAGAGTTTTATGGCCTTGACCCTTACGCACAGAGATTGTTCCAGATTCTCTGAATCTTTTGATGATGTTATGCACGGTTGATGATGACAACTTAAAAGTATTTGCTATTTTACACTGGGTAACACCATTCTGGTATTGCTGCACTATCTTTCTGTGCAACAATGGTGGAATTGGTGATCCTCTTACCATCTTGGTTTCTGAGAGACACTGACACTCTGAGAAGCTCTTTTTATACCCAATCTGTTGTCAATTGACCTAATTAGTGTTAATTGGTCTTCCAGCTGTTCGTTATATGCTCAATTTCCTTTTTCCAGCCACTTATTGCTACTTGTCCCAACTTTTTTGGGATTTGTTGACACTGTCAAATTTTGAATCAACATATTTTTCCTTTAAAATGTTACATTTACTCAAATTAAACTTTTGATCTGTCATCTATGTTATATTACGAATAAAATATTGGCATTTGCCATCTCCACATCATTGTATTCAGTTTTTATTCACAATTTGTTTAGTGTCCCAACTTTTTTGGAATCCGGTTTGTAAAATTTAACAAGGAAATAAAGCTTTAACTGTAAAACCGCCATAAATTAAGTAAATGCTTTCACAACAACGATGCAGCGTATAAGGTATTTTATTCTTATTTATTTCAGGTTTTCTTGTAACTTGGCTGGAAACCCATCCCAGTGTTCAAGCATCAGTGTGTCGTCTTTTACAGGAAGTGTGTGTTTCTGTTTGTAGGTGCGGATCTGTCGGATTATTTCAACTATGGTTTTAATGAAGACACCTGGAAAGCTTATTGTGAGAAACAGAAGAGGCTGCGAATGGGCCTGGAGGTCTCTACAGTCGGCTCTGTGACCAGCAAGATCACAGTACGAGTCGTGCATTTTTCCTTCAGCTTGCCCCGCTTTTCAAACTTTACTGCATTTGATATTAAATTTCCCATGATGGAATTTGTTTCTCATCTTAGGTGCAGCAGGGCAGGACAGGTAATGAAAAGGAATTGTCCAGTTTGTCCATTCACACCCCTAAGACAGACTTCACCTTACCCGTCAGCCTCTACAAGCCAGGAGGAATCGGTCAGGTCACCAGGTAACTTCTGCCTTTTTTTAGATGATGCTGATAAAACACTTGAAGTTTGTGTTGAAGTGTAAAGCTTCAGTGGAGAGGTGTCGGGTAACAGATGTAAAATGATTTGTGCAATTTGTAGCTCTAAAGTTAATGTAAGGAAATTGTTTTGGGTCAGTTGTTGTGCATGTTAGGACCTGATGAGGTGTGTTTTTAACACAATCACACTTTTTCACCTGAAAACAGTTATGTTGTGTTTTAATAAATGATGATTTTATAGGTAAATTACCCACAATTTAAAGAATACTGGCAAATTTAAACAAAAACATGACAAAAGTGTTTCAGCTCAACCAGGGGTCCGTCATCTGTAAAAATGAGAAGGGGGAAGAAAACATGCGATTTGTTGTGGTTGTGTTAAATCCATCTAACTTGGTTAAGATACTGGGATTAAACTGATGCTGCTTTCAACAATGAAGAGAACCAGATCCATAGTTTGGCCTAATCCAAGCGGAGCAGGTCGGGTCGTGCTTTCCTATTCACTGCGTATCCAGGTGTGTCAGCAGTGTTCCCAACATGGAGAGAGACTGCAGGTGAAAACACCTGTCGTTCTACACGTCCTGTCCTGAGCGAGCAGCAGCTCAGCTGCCTCGAATCGCTCACAGGCGGTCGGAGAACCTGCTGCACTGCATGCAAACCACGCATCGCACAGCAAACACTGATCTCTCTCTGGCTGACTGCGCCCTCGACATCCCCGGCACTTGGATCTAAAATCTTTTAAAAGAATGTATCTAATTAAAGGTTATGTGTTTGGAGCATCGTCATCATCGTACACATGCTCAACTTGCACATGTGACCAAACTCCTGGTCCTCGCCACCTCAGGAGCGCACGCAGCCTGTTTGAGTGGTCGGTAACCTACAGGTGTAGAAAAAAACAAAACTACTTTTTCTGACGATGCTTCATATTTTCTGTTCCACCTAATCATGTGCCAACAAAACCTTAGGAGAGTTGTCCCCTCCATGCACACAAATCATTTGCTTGCGGGCCTCCGTCCTTCACATCACAGGGGCCAAAACATGGTTTATTGTTCATTCTGACCATCATCGTAAACCAGATAAACTCTTAAAATGTTAAGGACAACAATAATATCTCATCCAAATAATACCAAAAGTCATGAAATCCTTCGTTTTACAGTGAATTGTTTTGTCCAGTTACACACTGCGTAATAGTTCAAATTATGACCTTAACAGGAACTTTGTAGCATGTTAGATTTTAACACATTAAAGGAATTTAACCAGCTGTCCGTTATAGAGACATGGAGTGGTTTGATATTAAATTCAGGAAAATCATGGCGATTCCTCCCCACACACCTAAACCATCAAGTATTTATGCAGTTTTTAAATATTTTCTGTGGGGTTTTGTTTGCTTATTTTTTTATAATAAAACTTTAATGTGATTGTTCTGATGTCCTGTGGGTTCAGCTGATGGTCCCGAGCTGACAGATGACTGACGTGGAGTCGTTTACACCACTTCATGTCTGTTTTCCTTCTCCAGGAAACTGACTGGGACCATAGATGTGATTGGTGCTCATATGGCCACCATCAGCAGGGTGGAGGGGCGTCGCCGTCACAATCTGGAAGGCAACAACATCCAGGTACAAGAAGCAGCAGAGTTAGCTTTTAGCTTGTTCTCAGCTTTTAGCTTGTTCTCCTGAAGGGTGTGTTGTTCCGCAGGTGATTTCTGAGCACTCGACAACAGAAGCTGAACCAGCTCCAGCTAAGATCCCCACCTTCTTCCCCCCTGGACCAATTCCTCCAAACATCCCCCCACCTCCATTTCTGCCCCCCATGCCAAATGTCAGCACTGCACCTCCTCTCATACCTCCACCAAGTGAGCTTTTTTCTGATTTTTACCTGTGGTAATCTGTGCTCCATTTATTATGTTTTTACTGGTCTTGTTTTTCCTCGCAGGGTTGCCCATTACTGTCCCTCCTCCTGGTTTTCCTCCTCCAACAAGCGGCCCCCCTCTTTCTTTAATCCCCACTATGGACAGGTAATGCACCTGCACACAATAAGTCTCAGATGAGACCAGTTGTTCTACTTCAACATGACTATGACACTGAATAGAAAATTCTAACTTGAAGAAATACAGATGAGATGCTTTTACTGTTTGGTATTTGCTGCATAAATATTTTTACAGAAACATTTTATTCCTGGTTTTTTTTTTTTTTTAGCCTGTATGAGCATCATCATCATGTCAGTAACCCTCCACATTTTTCATATCTCATGTAGACAAACGGCTTTGTAGATAAAATGTAACAGCTCTGAAACAGTCAGTAAAACAGTCGGTGTATACTGGTGTTTTGGAGCAGCAGACTGTACGCTTTTCAGACTGGTGCACAGTTTTCAGTGTTATGCTTTAATAGACACAGAGGCCTGAATTTGCCAAATAGTTGCTTTGTGGACATAACATGGAGTTTTGCTCATCGTTTCTTCATTTGCTCTTCAAACTGTGCTGCTGACCGCACAATGTCTCTGCCCCGGTGCAGCTCACCCACATCTCAATCATTGGGGACTGCCTAGAAGAAAGGCAGACGCCTATCCACCTGAAAAGTCCCAAACCACAACGTATACCCCCACAAATGTTCTATCAAAACAACCAGCTCAGCACCGTGATGTGTGCCATTACTTTTATTGACATTTTGAGTTACCATGGCAAAGTAATTTGCAAACAAATATGCAGATTTTCTCATTCAAAATGCCTGAGGGAATGCCACAGTGAGGTCACATGACCTAGACAGAAGAGGTCTCTGAACAAAACACTGAATAATTTTTGGAGCCATTTTGGTTCAAAATGGTTGCCACAGCTACCTCAGAAAATTCAAAATGGACTGTAGCTCAGTCATTCTCTGAGACAGTGAGCTGAAATTTGGTTTGGTCGTAGCTGAGAACATTCCCCATCGCATGAATTACAATGAAAAATCCAAGATGGCCACCGTAGCTTACAAGAAAAAATGACTAACTCGTTGATTTTTTTTTTTTTTTTTGCCATGTTGAGCTGAAAATTGGTATAGTGGTGACTGAGAGCGAACCCCAACACAAAGTAATGTCAAATCTAAATTTTTAAATGGCCGCCACGTGGCAGTCCCTGTCAAAGTTGCACCAGGAACTTTCTAGTTGTTTTAACATTTTTTTGCACTTGTATGAAAATTTGCTTGTATCTTTGTAAATAACTAACCACGCTGGAAACCAGCGTCGTGTCATGAGCTTAAGTGCTGTGTTGTCATCATTCTATGTTTCCATACAATGATGACATTAGTTCTCTGCATTTAACCCATCACACCTGAGATGCACCCAGGTGGAGCAGTGGGCAGCTATGTAGCACCCGGGGAGCAGTTAGGGATTAGGTGGCCTGCTCAGAGACACCACAACATGTGGGTATGGAGGGGGAGTCGAACCGTGACTTTCTGGTCCCAAGTCGGCTGCCCTACCTCTACACCATCTCCATCTTTGCCTTCTCCTGAGAGCTGGTGTTGTTGGTGCCCCATGAGAAAAAACAAAGGGAGAGGAGCAGCCTTTACAAAAAGGGCAGGCATGTTAAGCCCCCAGTATACTCCTGCGTACGTCCATACGCGGAGGTATGAGGGTACCCCCCAGGGCATGTCCGTGCAAAGCTCAATTTTTATGACTGTACGTGTACGCGGTGTCACACAATAAACTGCCCGGCGACAGACTGTTTTGAATGCGACACCAATGTATTAAATTCCCCTTCTTCATCCCTGATCTGGCCTTTTGTTTTGTTTTTTTGCCAAAAGGCCAGTGATCTCTTCCTCCTCCGTTGATGCCATGACTAAAATTGTGAGAAATGAAAGAATTTGTCATGAGCAAATTAAACTCGGGTCCAGCGTGGCTGTGGGAGGGTCTGGAGAGTTCCTGGTGGGCTGATCTGATGTGTGGGCTGCAGGGCCAGCGCTCCCTGTTCTTAAAAAAAAAAATCAGAACTTTTTATTACCAACATAAAAACACAGAACACCGCTGCAGCTGAGGCTGCCAGCGCTCTTTAAAAAAAAAATAAAAAAAATTTCCGATCTGTCAATTAATCCATTAGGCGTGTCAGCAAATGACCAATCTGCGACCTCAGTTTGTCCCGAAGGTGAACGCCCCTTGTCTGTGAAGCTGCTCTGCAGCCGCTCAGGGTGTACGCTCGAGTATGAAGTCTGAACCCGCTGCATACAGTACGCGTGGACGTACATACGTAGGAGTATACTGGGGGCTTTAGACGCTGCATACAACGAAAATATGGGGGAAAAATGTGTCAAATCCTGTTCTTAAAGTTTTAAGTTCAGGATACAAAACCTTATTATTGAACATTTGCCCAACAAATCTGATAAAGCCAAACCATCCATAGTCATCAAGTTCGTTAGCAGGAAATCAAGAAACAAGGTAATAATGCAAGCAAAAAACTGAAGGGAACAAATGTTTACATAAATGAACATCCAACTAAAGAAAATGGAAATATTGCACGTGAAGCAAGGTTGTTGAAAAAACAGAAAAAAATATCATCAACTTGGACAAGAAATGGAAACATCTGGATCAAAATACAGGAAGGATCTCAGGCTAAAATTATAAAAGACCTGAAGGATCTGGAAAGACTAAAATGAGTTCAGGAGAGGACAGATGATAAATCATTGATACAACTTCACAAACAAGAAATTAACAAAATATAAAATGAACAAATACATTAAAACATGGCAACATACGAAGACTCAGAGTTTAAAATATACAATGTTGAAGATGTGATTGATACAAATTTTTTCCCTGCAATAAAAGACTGTGAATATTACAATGAAGAACAGTTTAATGACATCAATATAACAAATGGAGGTCTCTCTATTATTCACTTTAATAGTAGAAGTATAAATGTAAATATATCCAAAATAACAGATTATTTAAAACAGCTAAACAGAACTTTTACAATAATAGCACTGTCAGAGACATGGCTCAACGATGAAAACACAAATAATGTTCACATGGAAGGGTATGAATTATATCATGTGAACAGAAGCAACAAAAGAGGTGGTGGAGTGGCTCTATTTGTTAAAAATGAAATAAAATGTAAGTTAATTAATGAAATGTCAATAATTGTTGATAACATCATGGAAATAATGACAATAGAAATAATAAACAAGAATGATAAAAACATATTGATAAGTTGTGCATATCGATCTCCAGGATCAAATATAGAAATATTCACTGATAAAATCGTACAACTATTGGACAAGAGTTTTAATAAAAGCATTTTTTTCTGTGGAGACTTTAATATTGACCTGGGAAATAAAACAGATTCAAATAACATCAGTACATTTACAAATTCATTGTGTAGTTTTAATCTTTATCCGTTAATATCAAAACCAACAAGAATTACAACTCATAGTGCTACAATAATCGATAATATTTTCACAAATGTAACAAATGGGGATGTGATGGGAGGTATTTTAATGAGTGATTTAAGTGATCATTTATCAGTTTTCACGATTTATAAAAATGATCAAAGCATTACAAAAGAAATTACAATTAAGGAAAAAACAATAAACACATCAAAAAATCTATGGACAAATTAAAAGATGATTTACATAAACAAAGCTGGAAAGACGTGTATGTTGATGTTGTGAACAGATCATATGAGTTTATGAATATTTTAGGAGCTCTGTATGAAAAGAATTGTGTGCAAAATAATTGTACAAAGAGAAATGTTGTTGACCAACCATGGATGACGAAAGGGTTGAGAAATGCTTGTAAAAAAAATAATTATTTGTATACATGTTTCTTGAAATTGAGAACACACGAGGCCGAAGAGAAATATAAGAAGTATAAAAATAAATTAGTAGCGATTATAAGGAAACACAAGAAGGAATATTATAGTGATTTTTTAAAATAAAAGTAATGGTGATATGAAAGCAACATGGCGAGTAATAAATAGTGTTCTGAAAAGTCATAAAGCAAAAACAGGTATTTCACAATATTTTTTGAAAGAGAACAATGAAATCCATGATGAAAATGAAATTGTAAATGGATTTAATCATTATTTTGTGATTGTTGGATCAAGCCTTGCAGCTAAAATACCAAAAGTAGACAATAATGTGAACCATTCAGTTATAAGTTGTGACAACAGTATTTTTCTTAATGGAACTGACAAAGAAGAAATAATGAATGTAGTAAAAAAAAAATCTGACAGATAAGAGATCAAAAGACTGGGTGGACATGGATATGATGTTTGTAAAGGACATAATGAGTTATGTTATCGAGCCGTTTACATATATTTGTAATTTATCATTTTCAAAAGGAATATTTCCAGACAATATGAAAGTAGCTAAGGTAGTTCCTCTCTTTAAAAATGGTGATAAATGTGTGTTCAATAATTATAGACCAATATCCTTATTACCACAGTTCTCAAAAATTCTAGAAAAACTGTTTGTGACCAGATTAGATAAATTTATTACTAAACAAAACATTCTAAGTAGCAGTCAGTATGGGTTTAGAGCAAAAAACTCTACATCAATGGCTCTCATGGAATTAATCGAACAAATAACTACTGCTGTCGATCAAAAACAGTATTGTGTTAGTATTTTTGTTGATTTAAAAAAAGCATTCGATACTATTGACCACACTATTCTCCTTGAAAAATTAAATAAATATGGTATAAGAGGACCAGCATTACACTGGGTATCTAGCTATTTAAAAGATAGGAAACAGTTTGTACAAATAAATGGTGTAAGATCTGACCTGTGCAATATCACTTGTGGAGTTCCTCAAGGCTCTGTACTTGGACCAAAGTTATTTATTTTATATGTGAATGACTTAGTGAATGTATCAGGACTCCTCAAATGTGTTCTTTTTGCAGATGACACCACATTTTTTTGTTTGGGTAAAGATATAAAATGGATGTTGGAATTGATGAAGACAGAATTTGATAAAATACAAACTTGGTTTAAACTTAATAAATTATCATTAAATTTAGATAAAACTAAATACATGATATTTAGCAACAAAAAGAGAACTGTTGATGATCCATTTAAAATTGAGGGTGTTGAGATTTGTAGAGTTAGTGAGATGAAATTTTGGGGTGTAATCATTGATGAACAGCTAACATGGAAAAATCACATCAATTCTGTAAGAACAAAAATATCTAAATCTATTGCAGTACTATACAAAGTCAGGGAATTATTAAATGATAAAGCTCTGTACATGTTGTATAACACAATCATTGTTCCACATTTAATCTATTGCATTGATGTTTGGGGGAAAGCGTGTAAAACATTTACAAAACCTATTTTTATTTTACAGAGAAGAGCTGTAAGAATTATCACCAGAAAGCATTACACTCACCCATCAAGCACATTATTTTATCAACTGAAGTTATTGAAGTTCCATGATTTGGTAGATTATAGTATTTTATCAGTTATGTGTAGGGCTCAAAATAACACATTACCATTAAATATCCAAAGAAATTTTGTTATAATCTTAAGGGGATAGAGATATTTGTCAAACCAAAATTCAGAACTAGTCTAAAGGGAAGGTCTACCTCAATCCAAGGAGTTGGATTGTGGAATGGTCTAGAGAGTGATGTTAAAAATGCCAAGCCAATGTGTACATTTAAGAAAAAGATCAAAGCTGAATTGTTAAAAAAAATATATGAAGTAGCTTAGTGTGTTTTTTGTATTAGAATTAGAAAAATTAGAAAGAGTTATTCATTTTGTTCTGTTACTTAAAGATTATTATGATTGAAATAATTGTTTGAAAAAAAGGGGCAGATATAATAAGATTTTTTTCTTCTTTCTGCTGCCTTTCATTTTTAATCTCTTGTATCTTTTTATATTGTTATGGAATTGTTTTGTACTTTTTTAAAATGAAAAAACTTTATACCATACCATAACATTTATAGGTGGACAAAAAAAAACCCCTCAAATAATTATCTGCACAGGCAAATGAGTGTGAATTGTTGTGTGAAGAAGATGCAAACAGTAGAGTCTGCACAGCCAAGCCTGTGCTTGTACAGAAATCCTGAGGGGTAAGTGGGACAAAAGATTTCAGGGATAAGTCTAATTGTGATTGTAAAGAAAAGCTTCAGCCATGAGGTCTAAGTTTTGACACGTGAAAACGCTGGTGTCGCTGCAGAGGTGGTCGTGTGAAAATGACAGTATGCCTTACGGCTCTACAGCCACATCAGCACCTCTCACTCATTATCTCTACAGCCACATCAGCACCTCTTACTCATTATTTATCTCTAACGGTGCTGTTTCTGTTTCCCATCAGCCACCCTGGAGGCTATGATGGCCGCTCAGTCCCTCCGTTTCCATTTCCCCAAGGTATGAAGCTTTACAGAACCGTGTTCTTTTCCAGCGTCAAACACAAAAGAGATGCTGCGACTTCATGAATAAAAGATGACGTGTCCAAACGCCTTTTCCAGTAAGCGCCTTCATTTGTGTGTTTCCAGGTGCTTACCCTCCACCCATACCTGGAGGTGTTCCTCCTCACTGGCCTCCCATTGTGGACAACACCAAGTCCTGGGACTACTATCCCCGTCGAGAAGACAAGAGAGACAAGGACAGAGACAGGCCCAGAGAGAGGACACATGAGCGGGAGCGAGAGCACAGCCCTGCAGCTATAGGCTACACCAGGTCAGAAGAGTACGTATCGTTGTCCCATGTTTCCAGCAGGCTGATGTTTCGTCCTCTAACTGAACGGCGCCTTAAAGAAATAAATTGTTCTGTCCACCTCATCAGTGACGAGGAGCGCTATCGTTACCGTGAGTACGCTGAGCGTGGCTACGTAGAGCGCCACCGCGACCGGTCAAGCCGAGAGAAAGACGAGCGGCACAGAGAGAGGAGACACCGAGAGAAGGAGGAGGGACGTCACAAGTCCTCTCGCAGGTAACGCTCAGTGTTTTTATTACTTTTAGTGTTTGTCTTTGTGCTGCCGGCACTGGCTGGTACTTCAGTCAGACCAAAACAAAACACAAAGTCCTGTACTTTAATACATAGACCTGCTCTGAGGTTCCAAATCTACTTTGAGTTTATTCTTTGTTTGTCAGATTTGTTTGTTCAACTTTTTTGGTTGAAGGAAATGCAGAATTAACTCCCTAGTTAGTTTTTATAATAAAAGTTTTTCTTTACAAAGGTTTAAAACAAGTTGCAAAGTTTACTCGAGGTTATATTTGGACAATTTTAGACCCTGGTAAAGATCAGATCTTTTTTTTTAAGCTGATACATAAAACGAAAGTTACGTATGTAACTACGGTTCTATGAATCCCGGATGACTGCCAGAGGGCGGTGCTGAAAGCACTGAATGTTCTCTTCGCTCATGCACTGTTCGAGTAATAATATCAATGGAGTCACAGGTGTGACACGGATGACCAATCAGAGGCTATATAGCCCGACGTCATCCACAGCTCTGCTCCTACAGAATCTTCTCGTGGAATGCAAGAATTCTGAGTGACAGAGAAGCTGGCGGCCATCCGGGATTCATAGAACCGTAGTTACATACGTAACTTTCTTTCTCTTTCATCCTTCCTGACCGCCAGAGGGTGGTGCTGAAAGCACTGAATGACTAATAATACCAACAATGTCACAAGGAATCCTAAGCGCACACCTCACTGAGGAGGCCCAGAGGACCCTTGTAGAAGAACCTGGCCCAGGGGATGAGGGGTGGCCACGTTAACGCTGTAAAATCTGGTGAACGTGCTTGGGGAAGCCCATGATGCAGCAGCACATATTGCTTCCAGCGGAACCCTTCTCAGGGCAGCCCAGGAACCTTGAGATGCTCCTGGTAGAGTTCCTTCAGTCTGACCGGTAGGGGGCTGTGCACTGCAGCACAGGCGTGGCAAATTATATCCACAATCCAGTGGGAGAGGCGCTGTTTGAAAAGAGGACATCCTAACCTAGGGCCTCCATAACACACAAACAGCTGGTCTGAATGTCGTATCACGGCAGTAGCTGCAACATATGCCTCCAGTGCCCTCACTGGGCACAATAATCCAGACCCCTCACCAGGCGTAGGCTGAAAACATGCCAGCCTCAACCGTTGGTTACAGTGAGAGTGAGATAACACCTTTCGTACAAATGCAGTGTTTGGCTACAAGGTAACGCCAGAGCCCTCAGGGCCCCACCTGAGACATGAGGGGCTGACTGAGAGAGCATGTAGCTCACCGACCCTCCTTGCTGAGACAATAGACAACAACTCTTACACGAAAGCCACTTGAAGTCCACCTGCGTCAGAGGCTCGAACGGAGGGCGGCACAGAGCTTCGAGAACCAAGGGCAGATCCCAACCTGGTGCTCGTGGAGCTGTCGGCGGGTGCGACCTACGGGCACCACGCAGAAAAAAGAGAGACTAGATTATGGCTCCCTACCGTACAGCCATCAATGCCAGCGTGATTAGATGATATTGCCGCTAGATAAACTTTAAGTGTTGAAGGAGACTGGCCCTTACCAAGGAGAGACTGGAGAAACTCCAGAATGGTGGGTACTGTACAGGAGACTGGATCCTCGTTGTGATCAGAACACCATTGGGAAAACAGACGCCACCTGTTTTCGTACTGCTGACGAGTAGAGGGTGCTCTGTCGCCCAGGATGGTGCGTCTGATGGAGCTCGAAACTCCAGTCAGCTGCTGTCCTAGCCTCGCAGTGGCCACAGCCGAAGACGTTGAAGATTGGGGTGCCATATCAGTCCCCCCCTCCAACTGAGACAGCAAGTTGGCTGGTTGGAAGACACCATGGGACGCCCTGACATAGAGTTCGTAGCAGTGGGAACCATGGTCGTGCTGGCCAATATGGAGCCACCAGCAGCATCCTGTGGCCCTCCTCGAGGACTCTCTGAAGGGTTGGCCAAATTAGAGAGATGAGTGGAAAGGCATATAGAAGGACCCTTGGCCAAGGATGAGCCAATGCGTCCTGGCCCAGCGCACCCGACACCCCTGTAAGAGTGTACCATAGGGGACACTGAGTCGACTCTTCTGTCTCAAACAGGTCTATCTCTGCCTGACTAAAACGGTCCCAGATCATCAGCACTATGTCGCTGTGGAGGGACCACTCTCCCGGAGCGGACCCTTGGCGGGAGAGAAAATCTGCAACCTGATTGTGTTGCCCTGGTAAGTACGCTGCCCGCAAGGTGGACAGGCGAGGAGAGGCCCATTCCAGGAGCTCTCTGGACACTCTCAGAAGTTCTGCTGACCTGGTGCTCCCCTGGTGGTTGATGTGGTAGACAATAGAGGTGTTGTTTGACCGAACGAGAACATCCTTCCAGGTGAGGCAGGAAGTGCCTGAGTGCCAAGTGCACTGCACGCAGCTCCAGCACATTTATATGACTGGAGCGGTCCTTTTGACCCCAGCGGCCCTGAACCACTCTGCGTTGCCACACAGCATCCCATCCCATGGAACTGGCATCTGTCATGACCACTTCCTTGTAACACACTACCACTCCCATGGGGACACCCCTGGACAAATAATCTTCGTCTCTCCATGGAGTCAGGGCATGAAGACGTGACCACGTCACTGCGAGTTTGCAATGCTTGTGCAGCCCGGCATCCAAGCGAAAGCTGTTGAGTCACCTCTGCAAGGGGCGAAGTGATAGCAGGCCTAAGGGCAACACCCGAGTGACTGACGTCAGTTTGCCGAGTAGTTGCAGGAAGGCAACATAAGGAAGCTGCCTGCCCAGCCTGAACTGACTGACCAGCAGGAGTATGCCGGCCACCCTTTGAGCGGATGGGCGAGCTCTCATGGAAGATGAATCCAGAACCACCCCAAGAAAGGTGATCGTCTGGGAAGAAATCAGGCAGCTCTTCTCCAGGTTGACATTGAGGCCCAACTGGGACACATGAGCGAGCAAGCGGTTCGTGTTGTGAAAGGCACAGGCCCGAGACGGGGCGCAGAGAACCAATCGTCTAAGTACGGCAGAACCTTCACTCCGTAGGCCTGCAGAGAAGAGAGGGCTTCCTTCACGCACTGAGTGAACACCCTCGGGGAGAGAGAGAGCCCGAATGGGAGTACCCAGAACTGCCAGTAGTGACCCCGATAGGCAAACCTGAGAAAGCGGTGATGTTCTGCCGCAATAGGCACATGAAAATACCCATCTTTAATTTTTACAGATGTGAACCATTCTCCCCTCGTGACAGCTTGAAGGACTTCTGCTGTCGTGAGCATGTGGAATGGCAGCTCCCTTAGGTACTGGTTGAGTCCCCTCATCTAAAATGGGACGAAACCTGCCCGTCCTCTTTTGCACGAGGAAGTAAGTCGAGTAATAGCCTCTGGGTTGTTGCAGAGGGTCCGCTGCCTCAATTGCGCCCTTGGCCAGGATGGCGGAAAACTCCTGGTATAGTGCTCGAGCTTCCACCGGGTCGGAGATTACAGTCATCTTGACTCGGCGTGAAATATGAGGCCGTCGTCGGAACTGTATCCGGTTACCATGGGTCAGAGTGGTGGGAGAAATATCCGACGGTCGGCCTGATGGCATCACCGTCTCACCGTGGGGGGGCAGCGGCCAGAGTCTCTGGTCCGAGCCTGCCCAGCTGGTTGGTGGACCGACTCGCGAAAGCTCCTGTTGGGTCTTTGCTGAACCGCACGAGGGTAAAGACCACCCGGCCGATTATGACCCCCAGGCGGCGGCTGAATGCTGGGGTCAGCCGACGGGCGCCTTGGATGCCGAGGAGGTGGAGGGGGCATTGCCCTGCTAAGGCTCGAAAGCTGCTGCCTTCTCTGTCGTGCCTGGACGGTCCGTTCCAGCGCTTCCAAGGCAGCTGAACCGAGCAACTCCCCCGGCGTCACTGGGACATTACGGAGGGTTCTACGACATGGCTCAGTCAATGCGGATGACGTTGGGCAATATAGCCTCTGATTGGTCATCTGTGTCACACCTGTGACTCCGTTGGTATTATTACTCGAACAGCGTATGCGTGAAGGGAACATTCAGTGCTTTCAGCACCTCCTTCTGGCGGTCAGGAGGCATGAAATAGAACTGTAAATTGTGAGTAAACTTATTACAACTTCACAAATACTGCATTATCTCCAATGTGTAGCATAAAATATATTTACAAGAAAGCAACAATGTGCATCCCTATGTAGGTACATACAATCTTACTATTACTGTACAAGGAATAATTCACTCTATGTAATTTAATTTATTTATATTTTTACATAGGCCAACAACAGACAAAAACATTTAAACTGTATTTTTTTGTTTAGACGTACAGAGTTTGGATAGTTAGTAGTGGTGCACCGATTGCAGTTTTCTGGCCGATCACCGATTTCTAAAAAGTCTGACCTGCCAATTCTGATTTTGGCCGATACCGATGTTGTTTCATAAGCGACACTGTCAGGTGTTCTATTTCATCCCTCCTGACCGTCAGAGGGCGGTGCTGAAAGCACTGAATGTTCCCTTCGCGCATGCGCTGCTCGAGTAATTATACCAACAGAGTCACAGGTGTGACACGGATGACCAATCAGAGGCTATATAGCCTGACGTCATCTGCAGCTCTGCTCCTACAGAATCTTCTCGCGGAATGCAAGGATTCTGAGTGACAGAGAAGCTCTGGCGGTCATCCAGGACTCATCGAACCGTAGTTGCATAACTTTTGTTTTAACGTCACAATGCACCTTCAATTTTCCAACCTTATTTTATTGAAAAACATACCCTTGAACAATATCATAGAAACAATACAAACTTGTTTTAACTGGCCATGAGGTAGGGCTCTGAAATATAAATGAAGTTTAGACAATTGTTGTTTATAACTTAAAAAATCTGTAAAATTGGTTTCTTATGCAAGTATTGGCCGATTTCCCAAAATTAAGGAAATATGGGCCGATACATCGACCGGCCGATTTATTGGTGCACCCCTAGTCGTTAGCACAGGATCAGTTTCCCAAAGCTGAAGTGTTTTTTTTTTTCATTCACACACACAAACAGCTTTTTTGGGAAATGGGCTCAAAAGTAAAGTAAAATAAAAAATCTTGAAACACTACTTTTGCTTTTTAGATGTAAACCTCTAAAACGCAACTTTCAAAAAAAATTACTCGTAGCTTCACCTCTAATTTAACCTTTGACACAAGAGTGTCTTCCTCTTGTTTGTTGCACACTCAGTGTGTGTTCGCTTCATGTTCAGATGCCATGCCTGGTTCTGTTTTTGGTGTATTTCAGGGCTTAATTTGTAAACCGATCGATGCCAGAATGCAAATAGCTGGTGGTCCGGTGTGTGTGTGTGTTGATTGATTGATCTGTGTTTACCTACATTTGTAAACACTCACATCCTACCCCCACTCCCCCTTACTTGACAGTTCTGAGCCGACTCTTCTCTGATAAATTCATTGTCCGACTCCACATGTGAAACCTCCATGCACTCACCCCCATCACTATTAGGGGTGGAGATTTTTTTAAGTGTAGAGGCAGAAATGCTTCACTTAAAGGAGCAGATGATCATATGTGATATTAAGAAGTCCTTTTAAGTCGTCTGTTGTGTTTAAAATGAGTGTTTATGTAATTATTTTCAGTTGACATATCCAGTATAAGTTTGATTCGTTCAAGGCAGTCATATTTGTTCTTAACTTTATTATGAGTCAGCCTGAGAGTTACCGGATCCAAGGAAACCGTTACCGGAACGCACCCTGTCAAAATAAGGGAGTTCCTGGATCCTGTTCCTGCAGGATCCAGCTCAGATTACGTCCTGGTGTCTTTCTGTTGAGGTGTGAAAGTGCTACGTACAAGCCCAGCATAGTACTATACACAGTACTCTAGTACTGCAGTGTTTTGCGTAGTTTCTCATGTGAATGTAAGATATTTTTGTAAATGGTGCAATGTTTTTGAAAATATATATTTTTTAGAAACGACAAAGATTACGGTGTAGAAACTGGAGGAACACCTGCGAGGCTGATTTGATCGATTTACAGCTTCAGAAATAGAAAATAAACATTTACAAGTGTTTTTAATTGGTAAAGTTTGAGCTACTACTGCAGATGCATTAGTCTTCTTCTCAGCCTCCCTCCTCTTTTCCTGCTTTCTCAGATCTCCATCATTTGTCGTTCTTCGTCCTCTTCTCTTTTTCCTATTGATTTTTAATTATTTTTATCTGTCTTGGTTTTAACCTTCTTGTTCCTTGGTGTCCTCTCTGTGTCTGCCCTTTACACACGCGCTCATCTTGGACCACTTCTTGTTTCTCTGCTTTTTATTTTTTACACTCTTTTTTTTATCTTTTCTCTGTAGCAGCAGCAGTCGAAGGAGGCACGACAGCGAGGAAGGCGACAGCCACCGGAGGCACAAACACAAGAAGAGTAAGAGGAGCAAGGAGGGCAAAGAGGCTAGTGACGATGTTGGTGCAGACCAAGAGAACCAGGAGGCCATGGAGTAGAGGGACCTCCTCCCACGTTCCCCCACCCTGTTTAGATTTAGTTTGGAACAAACGAGGAGGAAGCAAGAAAACCAGAAAGTCACAGAGTGTGAACCCTCATCATCCTCAGCATCATTCTAGATCGGACAGAGTGGGAGGTGCTCGTCCTCATCAGTGCGTCTGCGGCCCCCTCCATCCTCTCCGAGCGGCGCTCCAGCAGTTTGCTGATCATCTTTGAATGCTCGTTTCTTTTTGTTGGGTAGATGTCATTTTGTTCTCGTCCTGTACCAAGACACCGAAGTTCAATAAAAAACACTTTTGATAAGTCGTCTTTGGGTGACTTCATTTACTGAAACGGTCAAATTTCACGAGTATTTGCTTCTCAGAGGGCGCTGAAGACTTTTCCTCAGATGTTGGTGGTTGTAGTGTTAGAGATTAACGTGAACTCGTTTAAAACACAAAGTTTCTACTCCAACGGTTGCATCTTGTGTTTGAGAGCAGCTGCAGAAAACGAGCAGGAAGGAGCTTTAAGGTGTCAAACGATGCTTGTGATTGTTTTACAACAAATGGTTGTTGCTCTGAAGTCACATGTTGCAGAAGAGAGTAATCCAAGTGAATTATGTTCTGTGACGTGTTAAACTTTCAGTTTTGGGTCAGATGTAGAGGAGGAAGCGTAACTTCAGGTCAGCTGATGTGAGGCTGGTTGTACTTCAGATGAATCAGTCTGCAGCGATGATGATCATCACGCATCAGCTCAGCGGGGGCGTCGGAACAACCAAACATTCTCCTGAAGCATTTCACCTCCTGGTCTGTTTCTGTGGAGCGATCAGCAGAGGTGACTGCTGCCTGAGGGCTCCACGGTTCCTCCATGAAAACATCTGCAGAAACTAAATCCTGCTTCTAGTTCATTTTTATGAGGGGTGGCCATCTGGAATCAGCTTTGCTCCAAAACATCAGTTGTAGAAGTGTACTGATTAAAGTCTGAGATGTTTTAGTAACAAACTGGCACACATTTGTATATTTAAATGTACAAATACACTCTACATCACCCTCCTTTGGTGGTGGGTGATCATTTGTAAAAGTAAAACCCAAAATTCTTTGAGCTCTTTTCTAGAAGAAAGATTTTCCTTGGGCTTTCAAAATTCAGCTGTACCTTTTATAAGTTCAAATTATTATTTTTTCATTCAACCTTTGTTTAGACAGGTTAATCCCACTGAGCCTCGGCTTTACAAGAGAGACCTGATTTTAAGAAAGAATGACTACAACAAAGACGATAGACAATCATAAATCGTGTAAAAAATGAGACTAAGTGAAAATAAAATGGCATTTTAAAATAAAAAACAGCTAGGTTGTAAGGCAGACCTGGGCGTTGTACGGCCCCAGGGCCACATGCGGCCCTTTGGTTGACTGACCGGCCCCCGTAAGGGGAATTACAAAATACATATGTAAACAAATGAAGTTAACCAAATCCAGATATAGATCCTCTCTCACTGATGATGTCAACGTTGCTTCACATCGCCACCTCAGACCTTCAACATGACTTTAACATTTCCGTTAAAGCCCAACAGAGACTAGACTTCTCTCACTAAACAAGAAAAAAGAACTGAAAACACCAAATGAGATGTTTAGACTACAAATGTAGGCACGTAAAGAACCGGGACTCGAAATCACAGTTCAGTGACGATCACTATTATATGATGTTTCATAATATTTGGAGTACAAAGACAATCTTGTGATATATTTAGAAAGCTAAGAACTTTTTCCTGCAGTATATAAAACTCAAAATGAGTTTTGGGGTGAATGTGACTGAAAATGATCACTAATATAACGTCACAAATGGTAAAAATGTTAACAGTTTACCATTGTACTGGGAAATTTAATTGAATAAATGACATTTTTTGTAAGGAAACCTCACTTTTTCGTTGCTTAATCATAACAAATACTCTTACCAGCTTGTTAAAACAGTGCTATGTACTGCTTTTAATAATGAAATACTATTATTATGCAGTATTGAGTTAACTTGAAATCAGGTCTCTCTTGTAAATGAGTCCTCGAGGCTCAATGGGATTTACCTGTCTAAATAAAGGTTGAATGAAAAAGTCATTTGTGCCAGCCCTCCACAATATTTGTTGTTTTTCATGTGGCCCCATGGAAAAAATAATTGCCCACCCCTGTTGTAAGGTGATGTAAAATACTAAAAACAGGAACATGTCTGCGTTGGTTTTTCCCATGAACTTAACAGATGTTTGAAGCCACTTAGAGAGGTCAAGGTTGAGAGCTTCAGATCTTTTTGTAAGATATTCCAGGAAACGGGATCAGAGTAGGAGAAGGCCCTTTTGCCAAGTTCAGTCCTCACTGAGGGAACACTGCAGGTAATAATGTCCTGAGAGCGCACGCTGTAACTGCACTCACGCAGAGACATGTAGGAGGAGATTAAGGCAACAGACCAAGAAGTGATTTAAAGATATATTTGATTATATTATACATTCTAATCCACATTATGATGTTTCACTAGCAAATAATTTAACATGAAAAACAATTTTTTTTACCCTTTACAGGTTTAAATGCGCTTATTCATATTTTTGACTACTCTGAGATCAATAAAAGGGATTAGGACAATATTTTGACATCAACGTGTACAGTCTTTTTAAAGCTGCCTGTTCCATGTGAGCCAATCAATAATTCTAAACCAGGCCAAAGTCTGTTTCCTCTCAATGTTTGCTCTGGTTACATCAGCTCACAAACTCATAAATACACTGCATCCAGAAGAGACAGGCTGTGACAAGCAGAAACATCTGTAAAGCAGAAACATCTGTAGAGGACAAACACACGAGCAAACAGAAGAAGGATTAAACAATGAAGTGTGTTGTTGTGTTGCTGAGTCTTCTGTCGGTGTGTGGATCGGCTCCTCTGAGCAGCTGTGATGCTCTGCTCAGACCTGTAGACATCAGCAAGGATGAAGTAAGTGACTCTTTATGCTTTTCTGGCCTTTAAAAGCACCTTTTTATAAACCAAACCCCTGAGAAGTACAGCATAAAGTAAGGTGGTCACTACAGAGAGTTGAATCCCCAATTCGGTATGGTTCCCAAAAATTAAAATAATTCATCTCTAATAGGATGTTTTGTTCTGCTTGACACAAGTATATAAACAATTGTATTAAATAGTTAAAGTTGTTGCTATTGTCATTATTTATCTGTTTAAATTTTCTCATTCAGACTGTTTGTACCTTAAGCAGCAAAAGGGTAGATTCGTTATGGTAAAATCTAAAATACTTAAACTGTTTAAACATGGAATAAATTATTCTGTACTAAAAACAGAATCTTCAAAATTCAATTCTTGACGATCCAAGTTGTTCTTGTGAAGTTTAGGGTAAACAACGGAGGGAAAATGTTCCAAACTGCTCTGAAATCAAGCAGTGTAGAAGTTTTACAAATCTGATCCAGGTTTCACCAACTGTGTTTTCTTTAGACTTTTTTTTTAACGTTTACTACAGAATAATCCCAGTTTTAAAGAGCTTTTGTTATGTTTATCTTGAACAGTTTAAGTATTGTAGTTATACAACTGAACCTGTTTCATTGTGTTTCAGGAGGATTAAAAATAGCAATTATATTAAAAATAACTTTTACAAATAGAATAAAGATTTCACAAAAGCTGTCTTTCAAGAGCTCTGATTTTACTGATCATTCAGTCCACACTTGAACAATTTAGATGTTTTAAGCTGTCCAGATGGCCTGACTGACCATTATTTGATTTTGTACCTGGATGATTGAGCATGAACTTTGATGTCTTGAACCACTTTGGCTGTGGCTGCCTGCCTGGGAGGAGTCGACTGGGGAAAGGACAGCCCCCAGAAACCATCTTATGACCAGCAAACTGGTTGGTCCACTTAAGGAGTGTACTGCTTGGTGGGGGAACAGTTTACTTGGGACTTCTCAGACTGATGAAGCCCTCTGGATAGAAGGCAAAACGTCTTTCCACAAAAACGAAACTGTCCAGATGACCTGTACTGGATTTTGTACCTAGATGATTGAACATGAACTTTGATGTTTAAATGTTTTACTTTCTGAACTAAAGCTGGTTCAAAATGTTCCTGATACTAAAAATTAAGTGGAAGAGTCCTTTACTGCATCCTTCAGCTTTGTGCTGTATAAGTTCCCAGTTAAATATATTGTCTCAGGTATAATTAAATGTTAGATGATCTTTGAAGGATGAGCGATATGGAGTTCATTTTAAATACAATTAATAAAAACATCACACCGCAGCGTGAGATGGTAAACTGAGCAGAATAAGATCGTTTTATGGTGAGAGATGACAAACTTATCGCTGTTTGGGACAAATCTGGAAAATGGCATATTCAAGATCTCAAGCAAGAGTCTGTCAAACTGTCTGATTTATTGATGAAGTTATGATCATTGAAATCTCTGGTTTATTTTTACATGTCCACACATAATGGGACACTGAGGAATACTTTGTTTCAATGTGTACTTGTACGTAGCTGAAATGACAATAAAACCCTCTCTCTCTGTATAAACTCAGCACCATGTTTGTGTTCCAGATGTTGGGAGGATGGATGTTCGTCGGGGCGAGCTCGGACATCCCAGGAAGCCGCTCCCTGTACTACCTGCTGTCCAGCGTCTGGTTTAACATCACTGCCACCTCCAAGAGCAACGTTATCCACATCGTCCAAAATCAGAGAATGTAAATCTGCTCCTAGCACAACAAACAATCCATCATTCTGATTTCACCTCTGATGCTGATGGTCGTATTATTCCAGCTACAGTCCATTATGACCATAACGATCACTCCCAGTCACCGCCATTAATGCCAGTTATCACAAAGCATTTACAAGTCTGGACACAAATGTGTGTGCTATGGAACCTGCTCGAGCCATGCCAGGCTAAAGAAAGGTCGCACAATTGTATTTTGTTGTTAGCTTGATCACAGCATGCATTCTCTGTGGCATCATTTCCACAAGCTTCTGCAGCGTCACATTTATCTCAGTCCAGAGTGGCTTTAATCTTTCACCAGGATCTTGTATTGATGATGGGAGATTCATACCCAAGAGATTCTCAAAGGGGTTCAGGTCTGGGCTCTGTGTGGACAATCCATGCATGAAAATGACGCAGTCATGTTCCCTGAACCACTCTGTCACAGTTAGAGCTAGGTGAATCCTAGCATTGTCCTCTTGGAACGTGCCCGTGCCATCAGGGATGAGGTCTCTCTTGTAAATGAGTCCCCGAGGCTCAATGGGATTAACCTGTTTAAATAAAGGATGAATTAATGAAAAAAATCCATTAATGGAAGAACCTGGTCATTCAGTATCTTCAGGCTGACCTCTTTCTTTGGGCTCATAATGTTGCTGAACTTAGACCAGACCACCTGCACCTACCCCAGATCATAGTCTGCCCCCACAGGCTTGTATGGTAGGCACCAGACATGATGGGAGCATCACTTCAGCCGCCTCTATGCTTACCCTTGGGTGAGTGGTTCGTCCTCCAGTGGGAGAGTTGGGGGTTCGATTCCACCATCAGTCACATGCCGAAGTGTCCCTGAGCAAGACACTGAACCCCTCATTGCTTCTGATGTGTGTCCCATCAGTGTATGAATATGATAAAGCTCTGATTATTCTGTGTATAGATCTAGTAGAGTGCTGGATAAATGAGGCACAGATTGTACCATACCATACCATACCATACCATACCATACCATACCATACCATACCATACCATACCATACTATACCATACCACTTTATTTATAAAGCACCTAAAACAGCAACAAGGCCAACCAAAGTGCTGTACAGACAAAACAACAGGTAACACACCAAGCAAAATACAAAATGAGGTAAATCAGAATATAGACATAAAAACGATGCAGATAATGACGACAAACCAGTGTGGAGCATACAGGATCAAAACACAGATCATCTGATGTTGAAAGCCACCGAATAGTAGTGAGTTTTTAAATGGGACTTGAAAACCGAGAGGGAGGGGGTCTGTCTGACAAGCAGAGGTAACTCGTTCCAAAGTCTTGGTCCTGCTACAGAGAAGGCCCTGTCACCTCTGCGCTTAAGACGAGTTCCTGGAACTGTGAGGAGCAACTGGTCCGCTGACCTCAGGGAGCGTGGCGGGACATACGGTTGTAGCAAATCAGAGGGATGGTGGGGGTGGGGGGGTGACACTGTTCAGTGATTTGTAGACATACATGAATATTTTGAACTGGATTCGAAAGTGAACCGGTAACCAGTGCAGTGAGGCCAAAACTGGTGTAATGTGCTCTCTTTTGCCTGTACTGGTTAAAAATCGGGCTGCTGCATTCTGGACCAGTTGTAGTCGTGCAATGGAGGTCCGACTGATACCAAACAGGAGTGAATTGCTGTAATCAAACCTAGATGTAATGAATGCATGTCTCCAGGTTATTTTTGGACAATATGGGCTTCAGTTTAGACAGCCGCCTCAGGTGGAAGAAGCATGATTTAATAATCATGTTTACATGATTGTTAAGTTTCAGGGAAGGGTCCGTTATCACGCCCAGATTAGTGACTCTTTGTTTTTCTGACAGGGTTAGAGCGGAGAGGTCGATACAGTGGTTTGTGATCGTGTTGTTGGGAGGGAACAACATGACTTCAGACTTCTTTTCATTGAAACTTAAGAAGTTTAAAGCCATCCAGTCCCTGATGTCAGCCAGGCAGTCGAGCAGCAGATTGCGTTGTAAAGAGCTTTGACTGTCTTGATGAAATAGAAAGGTGATAATGTCCATTTACCCTGATGCTCACTCCCCACCGTCCTAGTTTTTAATAATGTTTTGAACAGTTCTTAACCTGATTAGAGTCATTTCAGCAATCTCCCCAGATGTTTTCTCTACTTAGGCCAATAATTTGACCCTTCTGAAATGGATGAGCATCTTTTCCATGTTCACAGGAAGTTTTTCCACATGGATGTTCAACAAATGAGAATCTGCATCAGTTAGGGTAAATGACTTTTTGCCAGCTGAAACAGAATCACCCTTACAGTAATTATCCAACGGGAAGCTCTTACCTTTTGTCTTAGTTAAATTCAGGCGGTGACCTTTTCCTTTTGTTTGGGCCACGCTGTGTGCATATCTGAAGCTGGAAAGAAAGTTCCCCAACAAATGTTTGTCTCATTATTGTAGACAGGCTGAGGCAAAAACATCTCCAACAAAGTTAATATCATAATTCTGATTGAAGCACATATCTGCTTTGGTTAAATGGCCAGTTTGTTTTTTCTTCACAGACTGGGTGAATGCTCCAGCTTAGCATACGATGTGGATTTCGAAAACAGCACCATTTTAATTGGTGAGAGTCACTGGAAGTTGTTTGTTCTAATGATCATGATCAGAGTAACTCAGTCGGCGCTTCTGATTGTGTTTTTGTGCAGAGCAACCTGTATACCTTAAAGAAGTCTACTTGCCCACTGAGTGTGCCGACTGTTTGGTCGCCAAAGAAGACATCAAGGCTGAAGAGCATTCTTTCACCAGTCTTCTTCTGTTCAGTAAGAATCACACAGTACAACAAATAAGTTCAGTTCTATTCAGTTTAAAACCATCACAACAGAAGTTCTCTCAGGCAGTGGCGATTTTAGCCTCTTTTTGGTTCTGCTCAAGCACCCCTAAATTTTAACTCAGCACCCCTGAAGAACAAAGAACCATCATTGGAACTGGACCTGCAGTCTCTGACAGAGGTGTCTGAGCAGAGGATGCTGAGGAAACTGCTCCAGATCCAGAACAACACGTCACACCCCCTGCATGACACCCTGGACTCTTACTGCAGCACCTTCAGTCTGAAGGACCTTCTTGCTCCATATTCATCCACCCGGTCCCTACGATCACAGAACAGTCATCTCCTCCACCTTCCATGAACTAAATTAAGGACCATGGGAGATCGGGCATTCTGTGTGGCTGCCCCCGCCTCTGGAACTCCCTCCCTGACTATCTGAGAGCCCTGCAATCATTGGTTGACTTTAAAAAAGGCTTAAAGACTTTTTTTTTTAAAGCAAGCCTATTCTGCCTCCACAATTTTATCACTGATTTTAGTTGATTTTATCACTGATTTTAGTTGATTTTTATCACTGATTATAGTTGATTTTGATCACTGATTATAGTTGATTTTATCACTGATTTTAGTTGATTTTTATCACTGATTATAGTTGATTTTGATCACTGATTATAGTTGATTTTATCACTGATTTTAGTAGATTTTATCACTGATTTTAGTAGATTTTATCACTGATTTTAGTTGATTTTATCACTGATTTTAGTTGATTTTATCACTGATTATAGTTGATTTTATCACTGATTTTAGTTGATTTTATCACTGATTTTAGTTGCACTTTGTAGCACTTTGAGATTTTTGTTAATGAAAAGTGTGTTACAAATTAAATTAATTATTATTAAATTCGATACATCATTTGATCATTTGTTTTTAATGTTGAAATGAAACGTCTGTACTTTCAGGCAGAAACAGGAGCGTCTCATCTGCTGCAGTGGAAATGTTAAAGAAACAAGCAGAATGTCTTCGGATGCCTCCGCCTATAATGATAGACCCAACCAACGGTAAGAGAAGGAGCACTTTTCTAGTGACATTTAGCACCTCTCTAATTGTTTATTATCATTTTATGAGAACAGAACTCTGCCCAGAAGACTTAACGCCCCCTGACGGGATGAGCGCCCTCCAATCAATGTTGGAGGCCAAGATGGGACTCAAGGTTGCCAAATTTCTGGATAGCATTTTTGACCTCTTTGTTAGCTGATTTAATATTTTTCTAACACTGATCAAATGGAAAGTGCCAGATTATCATCACAGCAAGGATGGTGAAAATTCTTTCATGTGATTGTCTTAAATTAAAAACCCAATTACAAAAGTGTTTTTGTCTTTATTTAGCTACATTATCTAAACGGTAAAAAATGTCAGAGTCAAATATAGACAAAATAAAAGGTTAGCTTTCCTGTGACAGAAAACATTTAAGGCTCTGAATGTCCAATACACCAGTGAGAAATAGTAATTATAAATAAACCCTGCCTATCTTCAGTTTATAGGTGTACTCCGGTACATGCGATCATAAAGATGCTGAAGAGATGATGCAGCGAGATCTCCCTTTCCTGGAAACAACCTTTAAGTGTTAAAATGAACGTTTTTAATGACAGTCATGCCAGCTGTAAGGAACTGGTGTCATTCATATGATGCCCTGATAAAACAAATGCTGAAACACTGTTGACGTGCAGCAACGCCACTCTCGACATCAGCTAATTAAAAAACTTTTATGTTCTACCAAGCTCCCAAGTGCCATATTAAAATGGAGGCAAATCAGGGGAGGTGTGTCATGTGTGCTCAGTTCTACGTTCGAAGGATGCTTGGAGGAACACTGAGCAGAAACGTGTGCATGATTTGATAAATTGTAATATTTTTATGCTCAAGCAGTTTGGACATTTTGTCCCTGTTACAGTTTTTCTGAATTGTTTACACACAAATTCTGGTACTTGAGAGACACAATGACCACAACATGTAACTCATGCACCAACTCCCTGAACCAATTCTGCGAAACTACAAGCACAATTCCTGCTTTACTCTCAAATTACCATTCTAAAACACACTTTTTTCAAAACACTACACGCAATTTTGCTGCATTTGGCACAACGTTCATGAATAAAATCTCTTGTTTTCACAAGGAACACACTGTTATTCAAAATTCTAAAATTTATTACCCCACTCTGCACACTGACCCATCACATCGGCAAACACCGTTCACACACTTTTACAATTAGCTATCAGAGCTTTAGCACAAAAGGGCAACAGGTGAGGTCTTCTGTTTTGGAGCAATGGATGTCAACATTGGAAACAGGCAGAGCCAGAGGAGTGAGAGTAAGAGGAGGAGGCCGAGGATCGTAATCTCTGATGAGATCCGAGCCACCATGTGCTCAGCCATGGTCTGACAATGAAGGAGGCTGGACAAAGAGCACAGACAAATTTGAGCAGATACACTGTAGCATCCATCAACTGGACTTTCTGAATTGAGAATAGGTAAGAGATCTACTCTCACTAGAAAACTGCAGTACTGTATATCAGTATTGTACTCATTGAGTACAGTAGTACAGTATTGCCTTTGAACAGTTCTGCAGGACTGTAAAAATGAAGTATGTTTCCAGTATTTGTGAAAAGTATTCATACTTTGTATTCCCACACAGTTTACAGTATTTTACTATTTGAATTGCAGAACTGAAAGATTACCAAGACAATGTGGACGGGAACGTCTTCTGTCTCCTCAACAGGAAACTGAAATTGTGAACACGGTCCTAGAAAATAATGTCAAAACATTACGACAAATACAAAGAAATGGGAAAAAAAAGAGATATTGCAAAATATCGATAGGGTAAGCTTATCAACGCTGGACTGTGTCTGACACAGAAACAACCTGAGGATGAAGCAGGTGTACAGGGTGCCATGTGAACACAATCAGAGTCAAAGAATTGCCATATGCTGTGTACCCCTTCTCCAAGCTATGGAAGACGCATGTGGACATAGCAGTTGATGCTTTCATGGCTGGATTCACCATGCTGGGTGATGATCCCCCACTGCTTGGCCAGGGAAAACGTTACTTGTGATGTGGATGAGGTGCTGTGGCCAGATCAAAACAGAAGACATGATGCAGCGTTTATTTATTAATTTTGTTACTTTTTCTGTTTACAGTAAATTCTTCAGTTTTACTGTGTATGTAGACCACTGTATGTGCAACTTTGTATTGGTTGGAATGTACACTGTGTGCATTGTTTTTGTGGGAAAAATAAAAAATATATGTTACAGTTTATTTGTGTGTTCTGAGTGTAAAAATAATGTTTTGAAATATTTTACAACACACTGATGTATGCACTATCTAAGTGTAACACTGAACAAAAAAAAGGGCCTTTAATTATGATGATTGGATAGAAGTGTTTTACACAGAGTGCATCAGTGTTTAACTGGTTTTTATAAATGTCTATTCCTATGATGGTTTGTGTGTGTCATCTGAGAACAAAATACATTTTTGAAAAGAGATAACGTTGTTTTGAATGTACAGTAAAGTTTCATTTTGAAGGAGAATTGAAGGGTTTTGCCTATTGTGTGTTTGGCTAGTGTGTAAAGTTCTGAGATTATGAGGCATGCTTTCAGAAAATGTGTGTAAACAATTGAGAAAACCTGTACTCCAAGGATTGTGGGTCGGCAGGTACATGTCAATTTTCAGTATAAAAGCTGCTCACTCTTGGATACATGAGGCCTCAGTTGTTCAAACATGAGGAGACATTCTGTTCTTCCCCTTACGCCTCTTTGTTTTAGTCACTCTTTTACCTGCTGTTTTTATGACTAAAGGTCATATTTAGATTGTGAAGCAGGGACAAAAATCATCCGACAGACACATATAGGGGACTGAACTGACGAAATATTATATATCTCCAGATACTGAGAAAAGATAGGAGGTATCATGATGGTACTAATGGTAAATGGACTGTACTTGTATAGTGCCTTTCTATCCTATCAAGACATTCAAAGCTCTTCACAACATAATCTGTGCCTCATTTACCCATCCATACAGCAATACTAGATCTCTGCAAAGCTAACTGAACAAATCATTCTAAATAGACTGAATGATGCTTTGTCACATTCAAACACTGATGGGACACACATTGAAGACAATGAGGGGTCCAGTGTCTTGTCCTGGGACACTTTGGCATGTGACTGCTGGTGGATTCAATCCCAAAACTCTTGCATTGGAGGACGACTGCTCTAACCACTCAGCCACAGCCGCCCTAATGAAACGGCTGCTGAACCCGGGTATGCTTGCTTCAACCTGACACTTGGCACCATTTATTTTGTGAATCCAGAGCTGAGAAGGAGCAGATAACTGGAACAAATGATGCCGTAAATCTAGAGCTAAATTCATGTACAGCACATTGTTAGTGACTTGGGCCCTCAACTGGACGCACAAATCCTTCCTTATGGCCCTTAAATGACTTAAAATGAAATAAAAATAATTAAAAGATGGAAATCTTTTTAAATTAACATTTCTTCTTCTAGCATGGTGGCGCAACTGGTAGAGCTGCTGCCTCTCAGCGAGCAGGTCCTTGGTTCAAACCCCAGTCCAGGGGCCTTTCTGGGTGGAGTTTGCATGTTCTCTCCGTGCATGTGTGGGTTTTCTCCGGGTACTCCAGTTTCCTCCCACAGACCAAAAACATGCATGTTAGGCTGATTGGTAACTCTAAATTGTCTCTAGGTGTGAGTGAGAGAGTGAATGGTTGTTTGTCTCGTTTGTCTCTATGTGTCCCTGTGATGGACTTGCGACCCGTCCAGGGTGTCCCCCGCCCCTCACACTGTGATTGCTGGACATGGGCACCGGCGACCCCCGTGACCCAAAATGGAAGAAGTGGGTAAAAGATGATGGATGGATTTCATCTTCTACAAACTGTCCTGAACATACCTTCTGAGACGATTTCCAAAAAATTAGAATATCATGGAAAAGTTGTTTAACTTCCATAATTCAATTCAAAAAGTTAATCTTTAATAGATTCAGGGCCCATGATTTAAACAATTTCATTTATTTATTTATTTATTTTTTTACAGAACTTGGGCTTCCAGCTCATGAAACCCATGAAAACAGGATTTCAAAAATTTAAATACTGTGAAGACATCAGCCCACACTACTTCTCAGTTTTTGCAGGAAAAAAAAAAAAAAGACATTAGGATCACAACAAATCAATCAAAATATGGTACTTTATATTTTCAAAACGATATGTCAATCTTCAATACTTGGTTGGGAATCCCTTTGCCTTAATCACTGCCTCGATGTGACGTGGCATTGAAGCAATCAGCCTGTGGCATTGACTGGGAGTTATGGAAGCCCAGATTTCCTTGATGCTTGCTGTCAGCTCTTCTTTGTTGTTGGGTCTGGTGCCCCTCCCTCATTTTCCTCTTGAGAATACTCCATAGTTTTTCAATGGGGTTTAGATCCGGCAAGTTGGCTGGCCAGTCAAGCACTGTAGCATCAAACCAGGTTTTGGTGCTTCTGGCGGCATGGGCAGGGGCCAGGTCCTGCTGGAAGATGAAATCTGCATCTCCATACAGATCCTCAGCAGAAGGAATCATGAAGTCCTCTAAAACATTCTGGTAGACTGTTGTGGTGACCTTGGATGTAAGAAAGCAGAGTTTACCAACACCTGCACTGGCCATTGCACCCCAAATTATGACTGACTGTGGATATTTCACACTGGAGCTCAAGCAGTATGGGCTCTGTTCCTCACCCTTCTTCCTCCAAACCCTTGGACCTTGATTTCAGAATGAAAGGCACATTTTACTTTCATCGGAAAAGAGGACAGAGGAACCCAGCAGTTGTAGTCCATCTCCCGGATGTGTCTGAATGTGGTGGTTTTTGAAGCTGTGACTCCCGCCTCATTCCACTCTTTCTGGATCTCTGCCAGATTCTGGAATCTTCTCTGTTTGATAATCTGCTGAAGCCCACGTTCATCTCTTTTGCTGGTGCATCTTCTCCTGCCACATTTTGCCCTTCCACTAGACTTTCCATTGATATGCTTGGACACAGCACTCTGTGAACAGCCAGCCTCCTTAGCTATGAACTTTTGTGGCTTACCCATCCTATGGAGGGTATCAATGATGGTCTCTGGCCAGTTATGTCTGCAGTCTTCCCCATATTGAACTGAACTAAGACAACTGAACCAAACTGAAGCAATTTAATGACACCTGGGGAAACCTGTGCAGGTGCTTTGAGTTTAGTAGATGATTAGTGTGTCACATTCAGTTTAAAACATTCATGCCCTACAACATTTGGGATGATTTCTCCACAGTGTTCTAATTTTTTGAAATCCTGTTTTCATGAGTTGGAAGTGCAAATTATGTAAAAATAAACAAAGAAATACTTGAAATCATTTAAATCATGGACCCGGGATCTATCACCTATTACAGATTAAGTTTTTTAATGGAATTATGGAAGTTAAACAACTTTTCCATGATATTCTATTGTTTTGAAAGGGTCTATATGCTATCTGAAAGGGATGATCTCCTGAAGGAAGGTAAGACCTTTCTCCCTCTTCTTGCCCTCCAATAGTAAGGAGAGCCTCCCAGAATTATTTTTTGTCCTAAAATCAATGTTTTCTTATCTCAGAGAGACTTGCAACAGTAAAGTAAACAGCTGTCAGCTTATGTGGGCTGAACCTTGTTACTTTAAAAGCCAAAAGTAAAGCCTGAACAGACACAGTCAGGGCACCAGTCATGATGAAGTTCCTTCATGTAGTCGTCGTTGTGCTCAGTCTTCTGTCTCTCGGATGGTCGGCTCCTGTGACCAACTGTGACGATCTGCTGCGACCCATTGTTATCCAAGGAAGGGATCAGGTCAGATACTCCCACGTCAACTTTGTAACAAGACAACTTTGTAACAAGACTCATTGTCTTGTCATTTCTGAAAATTAACCACAGTTTGTTAACATGCCACCTCCTGTAACTGAGAAACACATGATTCATTACAGCTGCTTGGAAAATGGTTCTACGTGGGAGAGAGCACAGACTTACCTGGGGTCAAAGTGTTGACCAAAATGTTTGTGGAGTCCATCTGGTGGAATATGACAGCTGCTGAGGAGAACAATGACATCGTCAATTTTCAGAATCAGAAATCGTAATTTCAAACATAAACTTGAGAATCATTTCTTTTTTTCCAAACAATGTGTTACATGTGTTGAGTTGTGTTTACATGGATGCATAAAACCCTGAACTACATCAGAATGTTTCCCTCTTAAAGGTTTGGCTATTGCTTCAGTCTGTCTTATAACATTACTGTGGAACACAACCAACTTGTTATGGGTGAGTATAGAAGGGACAGATTTGATCTTGATGTTCAGCTGTGGACAAGCACATTTTTTATACAGTGCGTTTGTATTTTTTGATTCTCAGTGCACCCCTACCCAGCTTCTGCTTTCCTGTTGAACACCATCTGTCCTGACTGTATGGTCCTGTCCTCAAACTACACCATTGGAGGCAGCTCGTACAAGGCTCTGCAGCTTCTGAGTAAGACCTGTTGAATTCAGACCAACTTTTTCATTTCAGAAAAAAAAAAAATATATATATATATTATTGGCCAACTAGATTTCAACAAATTCCTGAAAATTAATATCATATTTGGTAGTTTAATATAAAATAGTTTTTTGTTGTTGCCATCTTTACACCAGTAATGAAGAGTAACTGGTTTTAACTATGACCTTAAGCACAATATTCAGGAACAAATTTTACATACAATTTTTAAAGCTCTCTCACCTTTACACTTCTTTTCTGCTAGAGTTAAATGATTATTATTATTATTATTATTATTATTACAATTACTATTATTATTATTATTATTATTATTATGCTGCAAATTGTGCTACTGTTAGTAGACCACGAGGAGGAAAATGTGTCAGGAGACAGAGGGAGAAAAGGAAAGTGAAGAATGTAGGACTGAGGGTTGCAACCCTAAATGTGGGGACAATGACAGGTAAAGGTAGAGAACTGACTGACATGATGCAGAGAAGGAAGGTAGATGCTTTATGTGTCCAAGAGACCAAGTGGAAGGGCAGCAAGGCTCGCAGAATTGGAGCAGGGTTTAATCTGTTTGACCATGGTGTGGACTGAAAGAGAAATGGAGTAGGGGTGGTCCTGAAGGAGGAGTTGACAAAGAGCGTGTTAGATTGGGTGATGTGCCTGAAGGTAGAAGTAGAAGGTCTTATGTTGTTGTAGAAGATTGAATTTGATGTGGAGGAAAAAGATACGTTTTGGAAGGATCTGGATGAAGTGATAGAGAATATTCTCAGGGAGGAGAGAGTGGTGATCGGAGCAGACCTGAAAAGACATGTTGGTGAAGGAAACAGAGGGGGTGAGGAAGTGATGGGTAGGTTTGATGTCAAGGAAAGAAACCAGGAATGACAGATGGTGGTGGACTTTGTCAAGAGAATGGACATGGATGTAGTCAACACATATTTCCAAAATAGGCAAAGAAGCCATTCAAAGAAAGAAGTTAGCCTAGAAGAAATATGACAGTGAGCGGACTGAAGCAAGAAGACAGGAATATAAGGAAATGCAATGTAAAGAGGGAGATGGCAAAGAAAAGCGGAAGGCGTACGATGAGTTGTATGAGAGGCTGGACACTAAAGAGGGCGAGAAGGACTTGTACCGATTGGCAAGACAGAGGGATCAGGCTGGAAAGGATGTGCAACAGGTTAGGCTTGTTAAAGATAGGAATGGTAATGTTCTAACAAGTGAAGAGAGTGTAACGGGAAGATGGAAGGAGTACTTTGAGTAGTTGATGAATGAAGAAAATGAAAGAGAAAGAAGAGTAGAGATCATATAAACTGTGGACCAGGAAGTGGAAAAGATATGTGAGGGTGAAGTTAAGAAAGTTCTGAAAGAATGTAGAAGGGGAAGGCAGTACCGGTAGGACCTGGTGACATACCAGTGGAGGTTTGGAAATGTCTAGGAGAGATGGCAGTGAGGTTTATGACTCGTTCATTCAATGGCATTTTTGAGAGTGAGAAAACTAGGAATGGAGACGTGAGCTGGTGCCCATGTTGTGACGCCTCAAGAAAAGGTTTCAGCCAAACTAACCACTTTATCTCAAGCTTCAATAAGTATATTGTTTAGATCTGATGTAAGGCTCAGCATGAACCCATTATTGCTGTGTCATCACTTGTCTCACAGGTAGGAGAACCAAGGTTTCTGCTGCTGAGTTGGATGAGTTTGCAAAGCAAGTAGAGTGTCTTAACTTACCAGAGACGACTATCATGGATCCAGAGAAAGGTACCAAATCCTCCTTGTTTCTCATACAGTGGAATTTCACAATTTTTTAATGTTAATACAGTTTTTCTCATAATCTTAAAGTGATTTTAAGATGATTTTACAGTTTTTTTGCAGTTTTAACAATAAAATAATGCAGACTGTGTCTGTACCTTGTCAACACATCCACAAAAGGAACAAACTCTTGTGATGGTGTCACTAACAGAAAACTTACATGAACACACCTCCAGAAGTCCAACAAAACAACACAGGACAAACAACCTAACGTTCCTAACTGGAGCCAAAGCTGGTTTCTGTTTGAATCTAAACAGGACTGTTTAGTTCCAACTATTTTGTGAACCGTGGTTTATAAAGTGCTGGTTTCCAAAAGGAGATCTTTTCTAGAAAAAATAAAGTTTACTCTGAATTCTCTGCCTTTCAGGTATTTGCCCAGATCCATCCATCTCGGACGAAACCAGGAGTCTGGATCTCAGCAGTATAAACTCTGATAGCTTCAATGTTCTGGATAAGGTTTTAAATAGTAAGAAAGGAATCCAGACAATGGCCGAGAATCTTTCTAAGTTAATTGGCTTTGAAGCTAACACAAGCCAAGACTAAAGCGGTCAGAAAGGTCTTTGAATGAAAAATGTTTCCACTAAAATAAAAATTTTTAAAAAAAATCTAACGTCTTGTTTGTTTCATGTTATTATGGTTTAAATTATTGAGGTTGTAAAATGAAGAAGGAAAAATATTTGAAGTGTTAATAGTGGAAATTTTGAACTTTCTAAATGAAGGTTTCATAAGATTTTCTACTTTTTCCCCACCTTTGGACCTGAATATGTCACAACTGTACACAAATATGGGATTTTGTCCAAGACATTCAGTACACAGTGAAAGAGTCCACATTTTATAAATGCAAAACATCATGTTGGAACACCTAATACTGTTATGTCACGAAACCAGGCTTTTGGATTCAGAATGACAAGACACAAGAGTAAAAAAATGAAAACAGTTTTATTTATGATTGCAGCTGCAGCCAGGGAGAGGATCCAGAAGCGGTAGGGTCGTGATCCAGAAGCCAAGGCAGGGGTCAAGCATGGGGAATCAGAGTTCTTTAAACAGATGCAAGGGCTAATCCAAAATCCAGAGTCAAAGGGCCAGAAAAAGTGGTCGTACCAGAGTCAGAAGGGCAGAGCAAAACCAGACGAGCGGCAGGCAGAGATAAATCCAAGAGGCAGGCGTGAGGTCCTAGTCCAAAACACAAGGCTTGAGGTTCAGGCATGAAACTTTGAATGGCTTTAGAATCAGTGACCATGAGAGGTTTAATAATTTCGCACTGGTGGATTGTTGTTGTTCTTGAGGTTTTATTGGCGGTTGGCAAAAAACGTTGAGGTTGCATTACCGCCACCTACCGGTATGGAGTGTGGCTCAAAATGTATCTTTTATTCTATGCTATATTCTATTAATCACCTTTGTTTTCCAGAAAAATCTAATTAACATCTGAGTACTTTTACTATCTGAATTTCCCAGTAATATATTTATTAAATTAAACTTTTCTTTATTTTCCCTAAATTCTTCCAACATTAATCTCCTTTCTCTCACATATCTTCTACATACTAAAATAATGTTCTATTGTCTCATTTTCTCCACAATATTGACAGTTTCCTGTATTGTGTTGCTGTATTCTGTACAGTGAACTGTTAAGTCCATTATGTCCAAATCTTAACCTTGTTAATAGTTTCTCCTCTCTTCTATTTTTTCTTCCTACTCTCATTTGTCCTACTCTTTTTTTGAATCCTATAATACCACCTTCCTTTGTTATCTTCATCCCATTCATTCTGCCACCTTTCCCTCAATTTTTGTTTAATTATACTTTTTGCTTCTGATTTACTTGTACTCACTGTAAAATTAACTTGTCCTGTTGTTGTCTTTTTTGCTTCCCTATCTGCTATTTCGTTACCCTTAATCCCAATGTGAGCTGGGACCCAAATAAATATAACTGTTAATCCCATCATTTGTATCCTGAATAATGTTTGCTGTATTTCTGTTAAAATGTCTGGTCTACTGTCTGAGTGGTATTGTATTTTAGACTGGTTAATGCTGAACTAGAATCTGAGCAAATTATTGTTTTTAAAGGTCTAATTTCTTCTATCCATTGTATTGCTAATAATAATGCTAATATTTCTCCTGTGTATACTGATAACCCATGTGTAACTCTTTTTCCTTGTCTTATCTGAAATTCTGGTTTAACAAAGGCTATTCCTATTTCTCCACTTAGATTTTTTGATGCATCTGTAAAAATCCGAATATGATCATAGTAGTTGTTTATATATATCTGTACTGTGTTTGAATTTAAAATATATCCTTTATCCTTCTTTTTATCTAAAAGAGTTAAATCTACTATTGCATCTGGTAGGATCCATGGTGATACTGCTGGCAAACGCACCACTGGACTAATTCTTAAGTTGGTTATTTGTAATTCTTCTGCCTTTCTATTAATTACCCATCCAAAACTCCATGTCTCCTTTTTCTCTTTTCCCCCAACATGGTTTTAAAGTTTCTATTGTTGGATGATTTGACTTATTTCCTTGTAAACTGATCCAGTAGCTTATTGCTAATTGTATTCTCCTTAATTCTAATGGCATTTCTCCCATCTCCACTTTAATTGCTGCTGTAGGGGTGGTTTTGAACGCTCCAGTACAAATCCTTAGCGCTTGATGTTGAATACTGTCCAGTTTTTCCAGATGTGTCTTCGCTGCTGACCCATAAACAATACTTCCATAGTCTATATTTGATCTGATCAAACCTATGTAAATTCTTTTTAAAGCCCCTCTTTCCGCCCCCCAATCACTTCCCGCTAAACATCTCATAATGTTTAGAACTTTTTTACATTTATCAATAATTTTTTGTATATGAATATTCCATGCTATTTTCTCATCAAACCATATTCCTAAGTACTTTATACATTTTACTCGTTCTAATTCTTGATTATATAATTTAATTTTAACATCCTTTATCTGTCTTTTCTGAACATCATCACCTTTGTTTTTTCTACAGAGAATTTAAACCCCCATTGAAATGCCCATTTCTCTATTTTAACAATAGCATCCTGAATTTTTTTAGCAGTAAAGTCTACATTACGTCCCCTCTTCCAAATGGCTCCACCATCCGCAAAAAGCGAACAGCCCATTCCCTTTTCAATTTCTGCAAAAACATGATCTATCATTATAGAAAACAGTACTGGGCTTATAATGCTGCCCTGCGGTGTTCCATTTTCAACTGTATATCTTTTGGAAAGATGTTGACCTATTCCAACTTGTAAATTTATATTTGATAAGAAGTCCTTAATCCAATTAAACATTTTACCATTAATACCCAATTTACGTATTTTAATTAATAATCCTTCTACCCACATGTCATAGGCTTTTACTATGTCAAAAAATACTGCCATAACCATTTCTTTATTTACCCGTGTTCTCCTAATTTCGTATTCCAAACATATCGTTGAATCATATGTATTACGGCCTTTTCTAAACCCGCTTTGATATTTAGAAATATACCAATATTTAATATAACCAGGCAGGGATGTCCACTTTCACCTGCGCTATTTGCTATTTTTATTGAACCTTTAGCAGCAGCAATAAGACAAACTGCTGATATTAAAGGTATACTGTGTAGAAATATAGAACATAAAATTAGTCTTTATGCTGACGATGTTTTACTTTTTCTTCAGAACACAGAAAACTCAATATCTAATGTTATCAAATTAATAAACTCGTTCTCAAAAGTTTCTGATTATTCTATAAATTGGTCAAAATCTACAGCTCTTCCAATAAACTGCGTGTTTAATTCTTCTCTCAATGAACGACTACAATCAGGTAACATTACATACTTGGGCATTAATATTTCTCCTAGATTGGAAGACTTAATAAAATTGAATCATATCCCAATTTTAAAGAACATTGAAGATGATCTTACTAGATGGAAATCTCTGCCCATATCACTTATGGGAAGAGTTGCCTCAGTAAAAATGATGGTCCTGCCGAGAATAAACTATTTATTCTCAATGATTCCAAATAAACCTTCAACTGAATGGTTTAAGTCACTGGACTCTTTGATATCTAAATTCCTTTGGAAAAACAAAACTCCACATATTAGCTTAAAAGCATTACAGAAATCTAAAGATACCGGAGGATTAGAACTTCCCAACTTCTATCACTACTATTTAGCCAATAGGTTACAATAAATCTCAAAGTGGTTAAATCCGAATACATTAGATGAAACTTGGATAGACATAGAACAAACTTTATGCAATAATATTGAGATTTCAGATCTACCGTTTCTTAGCACAAATATAAAAAGACATGTTTGCTTTAAAAGCATCAGTATTAGCTCTTCTCTGACAGCATGGTGGGAGTATTTGAAAATGACAAAATCTTCACTACTCCCCTGTAGACATACACCCATCTGGAACAATCCTGACATCCTACAAGAAAATAATATGTTAAATTTCCCAGGTTGGAGAGTCAAGGGAATTGAACGTCTGGAACACATATATGAAGATGTAGACTTTATTTCATTTAATAATTTAATAATACAATTTGACATTGAAAATAAATACTTCTTACAATATCAACAAATTAAGTCTATCATAAAAAAGAAATTTAAGCTTAATAAAACTTTGTTAGAAACACCAATATGTGTGTTAGAGTTCCTTAATCTTAAATCCCCCAAATTATTATCGAAAATATACAAGAAATTGTCTAGAATCAATGACTCCATAATGTTACCTGTTGCAAAATGGGAGTCAGATTTATCAATCAATTTTGACCAAAACACCTGGTCTCAAATATGTGTAGTGAACTAGGCCTCAGGTCAAAACCTGACCCTGAGGACCTTCATGGGACAGGAACTGTTATTTCATTGATTTGAGTCCAGAAATACAAATTAAGCTCATCCAGAGACTTTCTAAGTGTGTCCTGCACTAATCAATTGAAAGAACACTCTTTTTTTTATATTATCATTACTATTTTACAATATCTTGATAATCAAAGTGTGTTTAGTGGACTAGGCCCATGTCAAAAACTAAGTCTAAGGTCAAAAATCTTGACCTTAAGAACCTTGTGGGACAGGAACTGTCATTTCATTGATTTGAATCCAGAAATACAGGTTCACCCATCCTGAGACTTTCTTTCTTGAAGATTCAAGTGAAAAGAACACTCTCTTTTTATTATCATTACTATTTTTCAAATGTTGACAATCAAAGTGTCTTAGTTCAAACCATTTTAGATGTGGCAGTGAACTAATCAATTTTATTAACTGTGTAATGATTTTTATTCTCATGTCAAAGCTGTAACAGAGTAATCATGCCTTTTCTGATTTCTGCTTTTGAATGAGCAAGTGTAAGTTGGTCCAAGGTTGGAGTCAAACGCAAAACAAGTTGTTATGTTAAAACTGTCATGTTTTTAGAATCCTCTCAGACGTAATATAGAGGTTTTTGGCACCTGTTTCTGAAACGCGCCAAAACAAAACTCTCTCTGCCTGTGAGAACATTTCTGATCTTTCCATAACAATTCTTGTTTTTCGTCTAACCTCTTACGTCACAAAACACACCCCGTCTGGTTGTTTCTGTCCAATGGGGATACTCCCAAAAGTGAACCGGAAACAGCTCTTTAAAATG